TGATTAACATAATAGGCCACACCCAACAGCAGAAACTCATTAGGATTGGCTACATTAGGGGTGTGTGGCCTAACATGCAAAGGAGCTCCTGCTACAAAAAAAAGTCCTGGGTCTTGACAACAAACAAGGTAAACAGAATAACAAGCAAAAGGTGGGTGTGGCTGGATAACCACACTTCTGGTAACATGGGGGTGCGTCCTAATGTGCTAATGAGCTGTGCTGGCAGGGGTGTGGCCTAATATGCGAATGAGTTTCTGGTGTTGGGTGTGGCCTATTATGCTAATTAGTTCATGCTGGGCTTTTTCTACAAAAAGAGCCCTGCCGATCACACAAGCGTTCCGCGTTTGTGCACATGCGCACGCAGTTCCGCGGAGCAGCACTGCTTTCAGGTTCGTGTTTGTGCGCATGCGCTTACGAAAAACATCCGGTTTGCGATGGGATGTGGGTGGGTGCCGGATGCCACGGGATACTAGCGCTCCTGCGATCAGACGCCCGCCCCTGCCCCGGGGCCAATGTTCATTTAGCTCCCCAGGATAGTTGGCTCTATCAAGAAGCGTTGGTTTTGCTGCGACAGACGTGGCCCTGCTGCAACAGGCGTGGCATTCTCTCTGAAAACGTCGAGGGACGGTTTGATACAGGACTTTTTGAAACAGGAAGTTAGGACGGCACAGTGGTTTGTGAGTAGAGTGAAGGCCACAAAACACCTGCGTGTTTGCTTTGTGTCACTGCTGCAACTTCACATGACGTGACGGGAAGGGGTTCCCACATCCTAGGATGGTTTCCTTCCTCTTTGAAACACTGGTGCAAACACTGTAGAGTAGGGTTGTCAACTTCCAGGTGGTAGCTGGAGACCTCCCACTATTACAACTGATCGCCAGGTGACAGAAGTCTATTCCTCCGGAGAAAACGGCTGCTTTGGAAGGTGGACTCTAGGCCTCCCTGACAAGTGTTTGTCCAGCCGCTGCTTGAAGACGGCCAGCGAGGGGAAGCTCACCCCCCCCCCCCAGGCAGCTGATGCCACCGTTAGGCAGCTGATTCTCTCACCTCCCCAAACCCCGCCCTCCTTAGACTCCATCCCCCGAATCTCCAGACTCCACCCCCAACCAGGAGCAGGCAACCCTTCTGTGAAGTCTGCAGGGGGAGGTGAATGGGGTGTGCGTGAGCAGGCGGTTTGCCCTTGTGTGCAGCCTTCCTGAGTTTCCTGGCTATTCTCTTGGGATTTATTCTACCAGGGCATGTGTTTGTCAGCTGAGCTAGGGAAAAGCCATTTATACACATTAAGGTTAATTTATCCCTGGTGGAACCCTGTTTTTGAAAAATGCATTGGTTTTTGCTGTAGGGAACACAAGTGGTAGCTAGGGTTGCCAGTTCTGGGCTGGGAAATAGCTGGAGATTTTGGGAGTGGAGCCTGGGGAAGGCAGGGTTTGGGCGTTCCCTCTAAGCCGAGTGAGCGTGAGCGAGCTCACAGTTCTTTAGCCTCCGGCTCACACACTTTTGCCTTCGCTCAGGGAGGAGGCCTCCAGAGCAAACTCATTGGTGCAGCAGCCCAATCGCTGAATCACAACTTTAATGTTGGTAGCTCACCAAGTAGAAATTTTGGCTCATAAGACTCCACACCTTAGACGGAGCTCAGGGGAGGGACCTCAGCAGGGTTTAATGCCATCGAATCCAGCTTCTAAAGTGGATGTTTTCCCCAGAGGAACTGATCTTGGTCACCTGGAGATTAATTGTAATAGCAGGAGGTGCCACCTAGAGGTTGGCAAGACTAGTGGTAATCAATGTTCCTTCTAAGCTGTGGAGTCTTGTGAGCAAAAAGTCTACTTTGTGAGCTCCTGGCATTAAAGTTGTGAGCGAGCGATTGGGCTGCTGCCTAAATTAGTCTGCTCTGAAGCCATCCTTCCTGAGCTAAGACAACTCAGTCTCCCTACTCCGAGTGGGGCCTGGAGTTTTCCTGGAATTACAATTGATCTATGGACGACAGAGGTAAATTACTCTAGGAAAGGGCGGCATCAGAGGCCAGGGTGAAATCTATGACATCGCCTCCCTGCTGAGTTCCCTCACCAAACCCTGCCCGCCTCAGGCTCCACCTCAAAATCTCAAGGAATTTCCCAGCTTGCACCTGGCAACCTTATCATCCATTCTTTTTACAGCGCCTTCTCAAGTGGTTAAGACACTGAACTGCAGGCTGTGGAAGGTCAGTAGTTCAGCAGTTCGAGACCCGAGTGTGCCGCAAGACAGGGTGAGCTCCCGTCTCTAGTTCCAGCTCCTGCCAACCTAGCAGTTCGAAAGCAAGAAATTGCAAGTAGATAAATAGGTACCACTCCAGTGGGAAGGTAACAGCGTTCCGTGCACCTTGGTGTCTAGTCATGCCGGCCACATGACCACGGAAATGTCTTTGGACTGCACATTTTGTAAAAAGCTCTGCTTTGGTACAAATTGCACGAGTAGCAAGCATAATCCCGCCAGGAGTCGTTCAGATCTCTCCAGCCTCCTTCCCTAGTTCAGCCACTAGGCTGGGATGCCAGTGTGCATTTCACGTGGAGACAGCGTGATTTCATGCCAACTATGACTGCCAACTCCAGGTTGCAAATACCTGGAGATTTTGGGGGAAGGGGGGAGCCAGGTGGTTGCCAGGTCAGCCCTGGCCACCGGCAGGGGATGGGGCGTAAGGTTGCCAGCTGCAGGCTGGGAAACGCCTGGAGATTTGGGGACGGAGCCTGGGAAGGACATGGACCTCAGATGGGCACAATGCCCCAGAGTCCATCCTCCAAAGCAACCATTTCCTCCAGGGGAAACTGGAGACTACAGAGATGAGCTGGAATTCCAGGGGATCCCCAGGTCCCACCTGGAGGCATCGCACAACCTCAGTGGAGCACAATGCCACAGAGTCCACCCTCCAAAGCAGCCATTTTCTCCATGGGGACTGATCTCTGTGGTCTGGAGCAGTGTTCCCTCTAAGCTGAGTTAGTGTGAGCTAGCTCACAGATTTTTAGCCTCCAGCTCACACATTTTTGTCTTAGCTCAGGAAGGATGGCTCCAAAGCAAACTAATTTATGCAGCAGCCAAATTGCTTGCTCACAACTTTAATGGCAGTAACTCACAAAGTAGAATTTTTGCTCACAAGACTCCACAGCTTAGGGGGAGCATTGGTCTGGAGATGAGCTGGAATTCCGGGGGATCCCCAGGCCCCACCTGGAGGCTGGCATCCCTGGACCTCAGTGGGGCACAAGGCCACAGAGTCCACCTTCCAAAGCAGCCATTTTCTCCATGGGGACTGATCTCTGTGGTCTGGAGATGAGCTGTGATTCTGGGGGATCCCCAGGTCCCACCTGGAGGCTGGCATCCCTGAATCTCAGGGGGGTACAGTGCCACGGGGTCCCCCCTACAAAGCAGCCCTTTTCTCCAGGGGGACTAATTTCCGGAGTCTGGAGATGAACTGTAATTCCAGGGGATCCTCAGGCCAGAGGCTGGCATCCCTGGACCTAAGTGGGTTACAAGGCCACAGAGTCCCCCCTCCAAAGCAGCCATTTCCTCCAGGAGGACTGATCTCTGTAGTCTGGAGAGGAGCTGGAATTCCGGTGGTCCCCAGGCCCCACCTGGAGGCTGGCATCCCTGAACCTCAGTGGGGCACAAGGCCACAGAGTCCCCTCTCCAAAGCAGCCATTTCCTCCAGGGGAAACTGGTCTCTGTCGTATGGAGATGAGCTGTAATTCCAGGGGATCCCCAGGCCCCACCTGGAGGCTGGCATCCCTAAACCTCAGGGGGGCACAGTGCCACGGAGTCCCTCCTCCAAAGCAGCCATTTTCTTCAGGGGAAACTGATCACCGTCGTCTGGAGATGAGCTGTAATTCCAGGGGATCCCCAGGCCCCACCTGGAGGCTGGCACCCCCGAACCTCAGAGAGTTGCCAGTTCGATGTGGGGAAATACCTGGAGATTTGGGGGGTGGAGCCTGAAGAGTGCGGGGTTTGGGGAGGGGCTTCAATGCGGTATAATGCCATAGAGTCCACCTTCCACCATGGCCATTTTCTCCAGGCTGAACTGGTCTCTCAGTTGTAATAGCAGGAGTCCAGCCACCTCCTGGAGGTTGGCAACCCAACAGGAAGCCCATCCTCCAAAGCAACCATTTTCTCCAGAGGAACTGATAGTCTCTGTCGTCTGCGGATCAGTTGCATTTCTGGGAGGTCACCTGGCTCAGAAGGATTGCCATGCCAACCTCCAGGTGGCGCCTGGGTACCTCCCAGAATAACAACCATGTCTCCTTCCTTGCTCTTTTCAGATGGGGTAGCCATGCCGGTCTGTAGCAGCAAAATGTCATAGAAATCCGGGGGCGCCAGAGGTGAACAAAATTGCCTTTCTGCATATTGGATTCCCCTGTTCTCTCTTTCCCCGCTGTGCGATCCCTTTGGATCTGTTGGAGCTTTAAAGCACCATTTCTCACTCCGTGGAGGAAACCCATAGATACACATATATAAAGTTCTGTATTTAAGACCCTCCCTCACCTCACTCAGATCTGAGAGGGCAGGACTATGAGGGCGATGCTTAAAGCCCGTCGCAGAAGCCTCGCCTCAAAAGAAAAGCTGGATTTCCATTGGTCCGCACACGTGCCACTCAAACTGTATCCCCGCCTCTCTTTCCATGACCGTTAGAGAGCCAGTAAGAGAGGCGTGGCCAGAAGAATTAGGGGGTGGGGCAAGGGACTTCCGTTCGCTCGAAGGCAAAGTTCATAGGCGTGGCCTAGAGAGGGTAAAACTGAGAGGGGGAGGGACGTGGCGTCGAGGAGGCGTCTCCCACCAACTTCCTTGACCTATTAGGGAAGGCGGTGACCGCTTTGCGTCAGAGCCGGCCAATGAGAACCGCCGCGCGCCAAACCGGGCCCCCCGAAGCGACCAATCGAGCGTGGGCTCCCATGTCAATCAGATGTAACAGACAGGGCAGTCTCCCGTTTAGGCGCGCGAGGAATTTCAAACGTCCGGGGAGGGCGAAAAAGGAGCGGGGCTTATAAAAGGGGGAGGGAATGAAGCGGATGAATCAGACGCCGCCGCCTCTGGTGCCGCCCGGCGCGGTCGCTGCTTGGCGGATAACGGGCCTCTCAGCCGCGGTCTGTTAAGGCTAGAAATAAGTTTTCCCGTGAAGTTCCTTTCGCGCTCTCCGATTGGAGCAGGCGGACCACGCCCCTCGGCTGAGGTGAGGCCCTGCGCGCGCGGTGTGTGGATGTGGGGGGGGGGGGAGTGGAAACCGAAAGTCCGGCGGCGGGATCCCTCGAGGTCCTCTAGTCTGACCCCCGCGCTTTTCCAAGCCGGAAGTCCCGCGCGAGCCGGTAAAGCCGGGGTTGTTGGTGGTGGGCTGAGGTCTGGGAAGGCTTTTGTCTGGATCCCCGTTGGGCTATAAAAACTTACAGCGACTCTGGCCCAGTTAGTTGCACTGTGCCTACCTCGTAGGGTTGTTGTGCCAACAAAACGGAGGAGGGAGGGAACGTGCTTGCAGTCATGAATGTTTTGTTTGTTTTGCTTTAAGGGTGCTGCTCTTACGGCCAATTCGGCTCTGAACAGCGTCGCACTAAGACTAAAAAGGAAGGAATTTTATTTAATACATGTATCGATACATTATAAAAATTTAGTGCTACTTTTAAGGCTTCGTTGACTGAGAAAAGAACTTGGCAACTGCCAAATGTAATATTAAAATTACAATCCACCCCTGCTAAAAGGAACCTCAAATGATCCAGTTCACACCTAGAGTTCTGGATATAAGATTTGATCCAACTATCTCTTGCCTCATTAGGCAAATCACAGTCGAATAGAAAGTGTTGAAGGGGGTCTGTTTGGCCGGAACCGCACTGGTACAGTTGCTCAGAGTAAGGCCCCTTATTTAAGCGTCCCAGTAGCTTCCCTGATGGAATAGCCTTCAATCTAGCCTGAATGCATTGGAGGAAAGGCAGGGTGAAAACATGTTCTGGGTAGAAACCTGGAATTACTGAACCTGAGTGAGTTAACCTAGAGGGTATTCTGGCAAACCTCAATAGCATGATAAAAAGTAGAGACATCACCCTGCCAACAAAAGTCCGTATGGTCAAAGCAGTGGTATTCCCAGTAGTCATGTATGGCTGCGAGAGTTGGACTATAAGGAAGGCCGAGCGCCGAAGAATAGATTTCTTTTGAACTATGGTGCTGGAGAAGACTCTAGAGAGTCCCTTGGACTGCAAGAAGATCAAATCAGTCCATCCTAAAAGAAATCAATCCTGACTGTTCCCTGGAAGGCCAGATAATGAAACTGAAGCTCAAATACTTTGGCCACCCAATGAGAAGGGAGCACTCACTGGAGAAGAAGACCCTGATGCTGGGAAGGACTGAAGGTCAAAGAAGACGGGGACGGCAAAGGATGAGATGGTTAGACAGTGTCATAGATGCAATGAACATGAAATTGAGCCAACTTCGGAGAACGGCGGAAGACAGGAAGGCCTGGCGTGATCTGGTCCATGGGGTCGCAAAGAGTCGGACTCGACTGTGCGACTGAACAACAACAAATTCTGTCTTGCCCTGATGTGCTTTGACCCAGAGGGTAAAAAGGTAAGGTCGGGATTGGTGTGTTTGTTGAAGGTCTGGAAGGCTTGAGTCCCAGTGACATCTTTTAGTGCCCTTGCCCTGTCAGTTGCCCTCTCGTTAAAGTTTTGGCCTACCTCACAGGGCTGTTGTAAGTCTAAAATGTAGGAAGGGGAATCGTACTTCAGCGGTTCGAGACCCGAGTGCTGCGTGATGGAGTGAGCTCCCGTCTCTGGCTCCAGCTCCTGCCAATCTAGCAGTTCGAAAGCAAGAAATTGCAAGTAGATAAATGGGTACCCCTTCGGTGGGAAGGTAACAGCGTTTCTTGTGCCTCGGCGTCGAGTCATGCCGGCCACATGACCACGGAGAAGTCTTTGGACAGCGCTGGCTCTTCGGCTTGGAAACGGAGATGAGCACCAGAACCCTAGAGTCGGATTCGACTGCCTTTGGAGGAAGGGAAACCTTTACCTAGGGTAAAAACACATGCTAGGTATAAATCTGGAATGACTGAACTTGGGCGAGTTACCCTCATGTCTTCTGACCTGCCTCAATGTGGTTCGACCCGGGGGGTAAAAGGGGTTGATGTGTTTGTCTATGGTCTTTTGGTGTAGTGTGCGGACTCTAATCTGGGAGAACCGGGTTTGATTCCCCACTCCTCCACTTGCACCTGGCTGGATGACCTTGGGCAAGCCGTAGTTCTGATAAGAGCGGTCCTTGAAAAAGAGCCGTTTCTGTCAAGAGCTCTCTCAGCCCCACCCACCTCACAGGGTGTCTGTTGTGGGGAGGGGAAGGGAAAGGAGTCTGTAAACCGCTCTGAGACTTCTCTGGGTACTGAAGGGCAGGGTATAAATCCAATCTCCTCTTCTTCTTTATTATTAATCTCTTCTTCTTCTTCATTATTATTATTTATTTACCACATTCAACTTTTTAGGCTGCCCTTCCCTGCAAGCAGGTCTCCGAGTGGCTCACATCAAAACCAACACAATAATCCGTGAAATAACATTAAAAACTACTTAAAACAATGTATCAGTCAAACAATACATTACACTGTCTAAGGTGACAAGAAAGTTCTGTTCCCATCAGCTCTCTGGGTAAAGGGGGTGGTGGGGAGGGGCGAGGAGGAGAGCATGAGAGTGCCAGCTGTCTCTGTCCTCAACTGAATGCCTGGCGGAACGTCTCTGCCTTGCAGGCCCTACGGAGGCTTGGGTCCAATGAAGTCCTTTTCTCCCTTTCTCACAAGACAAGAACTCGTGGGTACTCCGTGAAATTGCTGAGCAGTTGGGTTAGAACAGATAAAAGGAAGTCCTTCACCCAAAGAGTGATTAACACACGGGATTCACTGCCGCAGGAGGTGGCAGTTGCTACAAGCATGGACGGCTTCAAAAGGGAATTGGATAAACATCTGGAGCAGAGGTCCATCAGTTACTATTAGCCACAATAGCGGTGGCTATTGGCTATAATTGCGGTGGCTCAAGTGGTTAAGACGCTGAACTGCAGGCTGTGGAAGGTCGGTAGTTCAGCAGTTCGAGACCCGAGTGTGCCGCAAGACAGGGTGAGCTCCCGTCTCTAGTTCCAGCTCCTGCCAACCTAGCAGTTCGAAAGCAAGAAATTGCAAGTAGATAAATAGGTACCACTTCGGTGGGAAGGTAACAGCGTTCCGTGCGCCTTGGTGTTTAGTCATGCCGGCCACATGACCACGGAAACGTCTTTGGACAGCGCTGGCTCTTCGGCTTTGAAACGGAGATGAGCACCGCAACCCTAGAGTCGGATTCGACTGGCTTTCGAGCAAGGGAACCTTTACCTTTATAGATAGGAACTCTCGGTCTGGGGCAAGTGATGCTCTGTCTTCTTGGTGCTGGGGGGGGGAGCAACTGTCCACCTGGCCCCGCTGGTGGACCTCCTGAGGGCACCTGGTATTTTTGGCCACTGTGACGGAGTGTTGAACTGGATGCGCCATTGGTCTGATCCAACATCGGCTTCTCTTATGTTCCCTTGGTGACCTTGGCCTAATCAGTTGCCTCCCTCTTAATCTTGCCTACTTCACAGCAAGTGAGTTATTCTAAAGTGCTTTCTGACATGCCCCAATGTGGTTTGACCCGGGGGGGGGGGCGCTCTTCCTCTCTTGCTATTAAATGGGCGGGGCGCACTGGAAGGCTGTGACCAGGTGATATTATTCCTTCTGCCTTTTCCGATCGTGGCTTTGGCTGCTTTTTACTTAGAAGCCTTGGGGGTGCAGCCCTTGTCTCCCCCCCCCCCCACTTCCTTGCCTGTGTTCTCTGTTGAGCTTTGGGCCTACTTCTCCCCCGTGGCCGAAAACCTGTGTTTGGGCTGCGCCCTTTCCGACAGCAGGTGGAGGCCGAGCGATCCTTCACCTGCCCAAACAGAGTGTGTTCTGGCTCAGCCGCATTCCTGAGACGTCAGTGCCTCTGCTAAATAAAAATATTTTCTGCACGCAGGAGTTCTCCAGTTGCAGTAAGTTCCTGAAGGGGCCGGGCAACCAATTGCTCCTCCGCCCTCTCGCCTAACAGAAAGGCCACTCTCTGAAGCAGTGTGTCCCGGGTTCAAGGGTACCTCCTTGATGCAAACTGGGTTTGGGCTTTCTGCAGTGTCACTCTGCACTTGGCCCTCGACAGCCCCATGGAGGCGGAGTAGCTGTTGCATCGTCCCGAGGAAGCAGCACTCGTCTGCTTGCGTGTCAGCGCTGCTGCGGAAAGCAGAAGTCTTTTTCTGGCCTGTCTCCAGGCAGCAACATCCTCCCCCCATACTTGCCAAAGCGGATAGAACTCTATTAGTCACTAGGGTGACATAAGACCGTTTGCCACAGCAGGAGACGATGGTTCTCGTCTTTGCATCCTTTGGATTTGGTGAGCACTTTGTGATCTCGGTATGGCGAGAGGCCCCGGTTCTGCGGTAAAGCATCTGCTTGGCATGCGGATGGCCCCAGGTTCAATCCCCAGCATCTCCAGTGGAAAGGAACCAGACCACTGGTGATGTGAAAGACCTCAGCCTAAGACCCTGGAGAGCAGCTGCCAGTCTGAGTAGACAATACTGACTTTGAGAGAACCAGTTTGGTGTGGTGGTTAGGAGCGTAGACTCTAATCTGGGAGAACCAGGTTTGATTCCCCACGCCTTCACATGCAGCTGCTGGTGTGAGCTTGGGTCAGGCATGAGTTCTCTCAGAGCTGTTCTCTCAGGAGCAGTCCTCGAGAGGGCTCTCTCAGCCCCACCTGCCTCACAGGGTGTCTGTTGTGGGGAGCGGAAGGGAAAGGAGATTGTAAGCCGCTCTCAGACTCCTTTGGGTAGTGAAGGGCGGGGTACAAATCCAATCTCTTCCTCTTTGATGGACAACGGGCCTGATTCAGTAGAAGGCAGCGTTGTGTGCTTCTGTGTGTTTCATAGAAGTGAGCCGTTCTCCCGAGAGATTTTCTCTGTGATCACGGGAAACTCGAGTATTTGGTTCCCCTTCCCTGATGTTTTTGGGGCTGGAATACACGCTGAGGTTTGTAGTTTTTGTAGAGAACCCCCTCTTTTCTCCTTGTCTGTCATGGTCACGGTTGAGGGATGCAAGCTTTGGTCCACCTGGCCGTGTTGAAGTGTCTTTCAGTGTACCTCCGGGTTGAAGGACAGGTTTCTCAGTGTGGCGTCGCT